GGGGGGGGGGGGTCTGCGAGAACCATCCTCCTGCTTTTTTCCCAGGGAAATCGATGGATGACCCAGAAAAAGCCAGCGCTCTTGGGGGTGGGGTGGGGTTGCCCAGCAGTTTCTTATCATTTCTGTGCAGCAGCGTTGGCACGGCTCTGTCTTGGAGGTGAGCAGCAACGGGAGAGGAAGGACTGAGGCGAAGGCGAGAGGTACCATCGGGCAACTCTGGCTTTGCTGGCAAGCAGATGGGGAATGGGGGGATTTGGCGGAGGAGTTGGGGTTGGGGAGCTGAGAGGAGAGAAGGGGTGGGGGTCTAGGGGTTTGGTTCAGGAAGCCATTTGGGAGCACAGGGCTGGGCCCTGCAGGGTGGGATTCGATCAGTCACTCTGGTCTTGGGACCCGCAGAGGGACTGGAGTTGAAACAGGTTCCTTTGGAGCAGACTTGCCTGCTGGCCCCACAGACCCTCTTTGGAGCCTGAGGGCCAAGCCTGGACCTTCTGCCTCTGAGGCAGGGAACACACAAAGGCGTTTCCCCAATACATTATGCCCTGTAGGGAGGGCGCCTGGGCTTTGGGAGACAGCTAGAGGATGCCCCACTCAAATATCTATTAGATTTCTTCCCATTCTGACATCTCCCATCAACTTCTTGAATGAAGCGGGGTTGTTCCCAGGCCTAGGGGCTGTAACCCACACGCCCTCGCAGCCCTACTCAGGGTATGGAGTAAGGAGGGGGAGAAAACAAATTTAAAACCCAGAATGGACGGCATTACACAAATCAATTTTTCCACGACTTTGATAAATAATTCATTTAAGTCTGCTTTTGTTGTTTTGCTCCAACGCCTAAAATGACTCAAGAGCTTAAAGGGCTGATGGTGCAGACGTTTTGTTTTTGTTTTTGTTTTCTTGGAATAATTCACAACAGTATCGTGGGAGATGGAAATGTGTCTCGTGGTGGTGGGGGTGGGCAGTGGAGGGGAGTGATGGAATTTAAAAGGGAGAAAGGTGTTGGAAGGGGTGTTTTCTAAAAATTCTAAAGCAAAGTGAACAAGGCCCAGCAGGCCCCACCTCGTGTACTTTTCAGATCATATTTTCTTTAAAAGGGTTGGTAAGAAGTCTTTAGGCAGGCTGTTAGGAGACGAGCTCTCCTGAGCAACGATTGGGAAGGGGAAATAAGACTTGACTTTTGTCGAGGTTCCAACCTCTGGGTTCCTTCCACGGAAGAAATGTTAACTTGGCTGTAGAAGCAAATGAGGGGCTAAAACACCAGCTTAATACAAAGAAAGCTCTTTGAAGCTGTGCCTTGGTTGCTGAACTTTTCTCAGTTATATTTTTTTTTCTCAGTTATTTTTTATATACATGTTACTCTTTTGATTTTTCCCCTGATAATATATATAATCTACCCACTCAAGAAGTGTATTTTCCTGCAGTGCAAGCAGGGCGAACTTTTAAAAAAAATCATTTTATAAGGGGCTCATACAACTCTTATCACAATCCATACATACATCAATTATGTGAATTTGTACATTCATTGTCCTCATCATTCTCAGAACATTTGCTAGCCACCTAAGCCCCTGGCATCAGCTCCTCATTTTTCCCCTCCCTCCCAGCTCCCCACTCCCTCATGAACCCTTGATAATTTATAAATTATTATTTTGTCATATCTTTCCCTGTCTGACATCTCCCTTCACCCACTTTTCTGGTGTCCTTCCCCCAGGGAGGAGGTCACATGTAGATCCTTGTAATCCATTCCCCCTTTCCAACCCACCCTCCCTCAAACCTCCCAGTATTGCCACTCACACCACTGGTCCTGAAGGGATCATCCGCCCTGGATTCCCTACATTTCCAGTTCCTATCTGTACCAGTGTACATCCTCTGGTCTAATGAATTTATAAGATAGAATTGAGATCATGATAGGGGGGGGGGGGCGTGGAAGCATTTAGGAACTAGAGGAAAGTTGTATGTTTCATCATTGCTACATCACGTCCTGGCTGGCTAGTCTCCTCCTCCAGACCCTTATGTAAGGGGATGTCCAGTGGCCTACAAATGGGCTTTGGGTCTCCACTCTGCATTCCCCCCGCCCCCCATTCACTATGATAAGATTTTTTTGTTCTGATGATGCCTGATACCTGATCCCTTCGATAACTCGTGATCACACAGCCTGGTGTGCTTCTTCCATGTGGGCTTTGTTGCTTCTGAGCTAGATGGCCGCTTGTTTACCTTCAAGTCTTTAAGACCCCAGATGCAATATCTTTTGATAGCTGGGCACCATCAGCTTTCTTCACCACATTTACTTAATCACCTGCTTTGTCTTCAAAGGTTGTTTCAGAAGGTGAGCATCACAGAATGCCAATTTAATAGAAGAAAGTATTCTTGCATTGAGGGAGTAGTTGAGTGGAGGTCCAATGTCCTTCTGCTACCTTAATACTAAACCTATAAATATATGCACATAGATCTTTTTCCCCATCCTCATGTATAAATATATTTGCATATGTACATGCCTTTATTTAGACCTCTATAAGTACCCTTTGCCTCCTAGCTCTTTCCTCTATTTCCTTTTACTTTCCTCTTGTCCCACTAACATGCTCAGAAGCAGAGTGAACTTTTCATTAAACATAAATAAAAATTCATAAATTTAACAGTGAAAGTTAATAACACTGCCAATTCCAAGATACTAGATGAAATGCAATCATAATAGTTTCCCACTGGAATCAAGTCACAATAAAATGTAGTCCCTACCATGACACAGCTTTCAAGCCTTCCTTCAAATTAGTGGAGGATGGGTGGGGGACAGAGGAAGAAAGAAAATTCTCAAGCTTGCACAGACTGTAGTTCTTTGCCAGCTGTGGATAGTAGTGAACAAATTTTCCCTTTTCGACTTTGAAGGTCACTTCATTTCTGATCACGGAAGATGTGTCTTGTCCACTGCCGAGGGAATTCAAACACGCACTAATTTTAACAAGCGTTGTTACTTAATACACCTGTTACAATCTACTTCTAAAACCAGTTTGGGGTTGTGAATTGTTTTCTAAACGGAAACATTAGCGTTCTTTTAGTCAAAGGCCCTTTGAAGAAATCAATTTGCTTTTCATGATGAACTTGGAGCCGATGTCCCTTCTTACATGTTTAATTGGGACGTTTCTGAGTCCCGAAAATGTTTCCACGGAAGGGAATGGCATGCAAAGGCGATTCCCTCCACTGGGCGGCGCAAAGAGCCCCAGACCTAGGAGCGGCTATTGTTTCCTTTTATAAAAGAAAGATGCAAGAGACAGGATTAAGCTCTTCTTCATCTAACACCCACTCCCTAATGTTGATGGGCCCTCTCGCCATTTCAAAGCTACAGAAAGGCCAAGTTCTTCTCCCCCCACCCCCCTCTCTTAAATAATCTCCAACTGCTTGGACTTGATACATATTTGCATAGAAATGTATTTTTTAAAGAAAATGAGTCCCTAAAGTGACAGAAACCAAGAAAGTGGAGATTAAGAGTAGAGGAGGAAAGACGACGTGGGAGAAAAAGGAAGATGCTGGCAAACAATGATAAAAGAAACAAGTTCGAATGATAATGTACAGATCACTAGTCCCAGGCAATGAAAGTTTGGGGAGATGGTTCTGGTATCATAATATTCAAGAGCTGCACCTCAACTTTAAAAACCAGCGATCTAGAAGGGGTAGCCTGAAGCTGGCTCTCCCTGGGCACTGTGCAGGAGCAGTGAGCACCAAGACTAGCAGCGGCCAGGACAGGACTCTGCAGGGGTCTGCACTTGCCAAAGCACCTGATCTTTCTGATCTCCAGAGTCCTTGTTGAGAAAAGGGACGGGTCACCCTGGCCTACAATAGGGTCGGGGTGATGACCAGGAGGATCTCTGCAAAGGCTCTTGGAAAAATATGAAGCAAGAGTTTGACCAAGGGCTAGTGCCAATGTGGCGGTGACTTCTGGCCATGGGTGACACCCAGGAAACAGGGCATGTGTCACCTCTCCTCCATGTTACTCACTCACTTGGAACATCTATTACTGTAAGTGTGACTGTAGGTGTACTCTGTGCCATAGTGTTTGGACCGAGACACCAATCCACCTCGGAGAGTGGACAGAATCTTGAGCATGCTGGAAATTGTCATAAATGCCGTGATGCAAATCCAAGCCTGGGACAGTGGGGGTGCAAGAGAGGGAGTGAGGAATCCTACCTGAAGAGTAGCTGTAGGAGGTGGAGAGGGTTCCTAAAGAAAGCCAAGTGTGTGCTCAGTCAGAGAAGGGGGCGCATCCCAAGGAGAGGGGAAAGTAGGAAGAAATACTCATGGTAGCTAGGTGCAATACCCCCTCCCCCAAACAACAACAACAACAACTAAAAACTGCACTGCCATCCCGTGGATTCCAGCTGGACTGACCCAATATGCTAAGTGTCCACAAATGGTTCATGCTTCCATTTAATTTCCTGACTGTGGTGCTGGGCTGCATCTGAGGACCCCTGCTGGTTTTAGGGGTCTCTTTCTGGTGCTGGGGCGCACTCTGGGCACATCTCCGCAGCAGAATGTTACTGCAGGCCCAACTCTTAGATTGGAACCCTCCCACCAAAGCCATGGGTGGCACCCTCTCTTTTCCCCACTGCATTTTTCTAGATCTCCGAACTCAAGAAGCCCTGGTGACCCGAGCAGACCCAGAGTGAAGTCTCCCTCCAACTCAGAGATGGGAAATAAAGAACGTCATAAGGTAGATGTAATTTGGCAGAGGAGCGGAGGGGACGAGGGAGATTCATTGTATCCTCTTCGAAACTAGTCTGTCGTCCGTTGAGGATGGGCTCCTGAAGAAACTGTAAGAGTGACATTCGCCACATCCTGTTGCAAGAACCCTGCCGCCTGTAAGGCCTAATGAAGGGAGTTAATGTTTTTTATCAACTCCTGGGATTCAGAGGGAATGAAGGTGCCGGCATGGAGGAAAAACTAAAGCCTTAGAGCGATGAGCGAAGATGCCAATCAGGGAAGGGGAAATTCATTTGCGATGTTAATTAACAAGCGGCTAATTAAAACGGCACTTTGAGCGCTAATCAATCGCCTTATTAAGTTAGAGCCATCACTGGAACAAATTGAAATCTCCCCACCCGGTCGGTTCCCGCCTCTGGTGCGGGTGGGGTTGGGCGCCCAGATACCGCAGGAGGGGTGGTAGCCCGCCGCCTGCCCACCCCACCCTTCCGCCTCTGCGTCCCAGTTCGCCGCCTCTCCCGGGAGCTCGCCGCCGCGCTTGCCCCCGCGGGGCTCGACGCTTGTCCACGAGGCTGGTTCCACTCTGGACGCAGCCCACGGGGGCATCGAGAGCAACTCACGGACGTTTGCTCCCGCAAAGAGGGGCCGGACGCGCAGGCGGGCGCTGCGAGGGCCGCTGGCGGGGCAGCCAGAGAGGGGGCGCTCTAGGGCCGGGACCGTGCAGCCCCGTTCTGCACGCCCGACTGACCAGCTGTTGCGGGACCCAGCCCTCAGCCTGGGTCGTGCCGGTAGCCCAGAAGAGCTGGGCTGACCTGCCTTCAGGCAGCCTCCACGGCTCTGTCTCTTGGAGGGGGGGGAGCGCGGGCGGAGGTGTGAGGGGCGCCCTGGAAGGGCCAGGCCGCTGGTGGGCTGGGGAAGGCAGGGGGTGGGGGGGCGCTGGTCTTCTGAGTCGCCGGCATACCTTTACCAGCCTTCCACCCAAACCGTTAGTGCTTCACTGCATGCCCGGGCCCTGCAAACTCCCAATCCTTATATGGAGGAGCCGGCCGCATTTCCTAATTGTTAAATGCCTGCTTTTCACCAAATCCCCCAGGGAGGCGCATTTGGCAATAAGAGAGGCCTGTGAATTTAAATGCTAATTAAGTGGGCCCTTCTCCCGCAACTCCACCTGCCTGGTGGCCCTTGTGTAGGCAAAACAAGCCGGGGGCGCGCCCCATTACACTCCTGGGGTGCCCAGTATTAACACAGTTACTGGGGGGTCCCCAGCGGCCTGCTCCCTACGGTGCACCTTTTATGGCCTTCTCCAAAGAAAAAGAAGGTGCTGTGGGAACGGGGTCCTTGGCGTGACGGGGGAAGGGCGGTGGAGCCCAGGGTGTGGTTCAGGTGACTAAGACGTCACGTGCCTGTGGCGAGCGGCGTGGTAAGCTGGCGTTCCTCCGAGGGGCGCCTGCCAGCGTCGGCTTGTGCCAGCGTGCTTGGGGTGTCCCGGGAGAACCGAAGGAACGGCTCCCACGTGCAAAGTTCAAAAGCATTAATATTTTCATCATATTATCATTATTCAATATAATAATATTTGCTCGGTTAGCGGCACTAATTAGGCCACATTAAAACCATGGTGTCTCCCTAATGGTGCGTAATGTACCCACACTCGCCTTTTTCTCTCGGAGGATGGGCGGCTGCAGGCTGGCAGGGGCGGGGAGACTGGCACGCGGCGGGCTGGATTGGGGGGTGAGAGCCTCCCCGAACGTGCCGGCGCGCGACGGTGGGGTGTCTGTCCGGGTGGGGGCGGCGGCCCGGGTCTGGCGCCGTCCAAGGGACCCTCTGGCTCCCGGAGGCCAGCAGCGCGCACAGGGCAACCTCCGCCTGCGACCCCGGCGCTTGGAACTCCGAGGGTTGATTTTGCTTCCCGTCCGCCTTTGGTGTGAGGGCTTTCAATTGGTTCGGTTTTAAAGGTTTTTAATACTCTTGCGTGGCGCTCTGGGGTCAGACCCGGAGGTACCGCCGTGAGGACCCCAGTGGGCACTCCGGTGGGAGATTTGAGGCTAGAGTTCCGAAGAAGCGACCGCCGAGCCCCTCGCGCCGGCCAGGGGGCTTCTGCACCTGCAGCCCGTGCTCGGCTCGGCCCGGCCCGGAGCCCGCGGTCGGCGGCGGGAAGGAGGTGAAGCTGCGAGCGAGCGCCTTCCCCTCCTCTCCCCGTGGGCGCCGCGGCGAAATCACTCTGAAAATGTAACCTATTTGTAACGCGCGCCGAGGGTGATGTGTGCGCGGGGCTAGCAGGTGCACGCGGAGTGGGAGGGCGGGCAT